ATAAAAATGTATTTTAAAAGTAGAATTAGATTGACATTATCAATGTATTTTAAAAATAATTTTTCCAATGTCTAATAATTAAGGATTACTTTCTTAATTTTCTATTTAACTTGTTTCTAAAGTTCATTTTTTTCATTTTTTATAATAATAATTCTTGATTGGATCTGATCTGATCTGATTTGGATCTGATCTGATATGATTTGATCTGATATGATTCGATCTGATCTAATTAGATCTGATCTGGTCTGATCTAATTTGATTTTAATAAGAATAAGAAAAAAAATAGAAAAAAAGTTGAATAGAACGGGGCCTTAGTGAGGAGGTTAAGAAGGGTAGAAACCATCAATTTTGCGAACTGAGCACCGGAAGAGCTTCAAATGACGAGTGTCGTCCGTTGACGCTAGATGCTAGTGTCAACAGAACCTTTCTGTAGATTCAAATATACCCCAATTTTAATTTTTTACGGTTCATTATAATTAATTTTTGATACATAACTAAATAAAATTACATGAATGATAAGCCCTATCAAAAACTTCAAATTTTATGTTCATAATTTATAAATTTTGGCCACGGTATATTCACGAAGATGCGTTGACTTATTATATAAATGTCGTGTTTTAGATTCATTTTAAAATAATATTTTCGTCACTGAGTATTTATCTTTCTTTTTTTGTTGCAAAACATGAGTATTTTATCTAATTTTGATTTTGACTTTTTGCAATCAATCATTTTTAATATTTGACCTATAATTAAATAAAATATATATCGTATATTAATTAGATATAAGGGAAAAGGACTAAAGTATGAATAAAATATTAAAAATATACAAAAATAGGGGATCCATATTTTTATCTCCGAAATTAGAGTTAAAATGCATCTACGGTGCCAATCATAACCATATACATTACCAAAAAAATATTGTGAAATTTCCATATACAATGTCACATTATTACAGTGCAAATTCTTATTTTGGATATTAAAATATAGAGCTCTTATTTTGATATTTTCTATATGATTTTACTCCTATTTAGGGTGATTTCTTTAGATTAAATAATATTTTAAAGATATTTTCTAAAATAAAACTAATAAAATTATTTTTGTATCTATATCTAGTATAACTTTTATTTAATTTATTTCTAATGTTTGTCAATTTTAACTGAAAAAATAAAAAATGGATAAATACTCAGAAACGGAGGGAGTATAATTTTATTATATACTACCTCTGTCCCTAAATATTTGTTCAGTTTTGATTTTTTTGATCAACCACTTTCAACATTTGAAATATAATTAAATAATATCTAAAATTATTTTTAAAATAAAGCTATTTTATATCAATATCTAATATTATTTTTATTTACTTTGAAGTTAAAATTTACCAATTTTAATTGAAAAAATTACAAAACAGATAAATACTCAGGGATGGAGGAGGTCTTAGATTTATATAAGAGATTGTTATATATCATACATATTGATGTTCAAAATATTGAAATGAAGACAATGAGAGAAACACTTTAGAGGTAATTATAAGCAAATTGTACTCTCTACGTCATAAAATGATCTTCACAGTTCGGACAATCAGATAAGATCTTCAAAAATCAGATTAGATCCAATCAAATCAGACAAACGAAGTAGAGTCTTAACTCTTAAGTGAATCCAAGTCGCCTTCATCTTAGGCTACTCGCTAGGGTTGTAAAAAGAACTAATCAAATCGAATATTATGAAATTTTATTTGTATTTGAAAAATGATACCATTATTCATATTCATTTTTTATTCGAATAATTATTACTAATCGTATTCGATTCCATATTAAATTCAAATACTCGGTGTTATTTATTTTAGTGTAATTGAAAAAACTGTTTGACCAATGCTGTCATAATAATCATCAAAGAAGTTTGGTGGTGCGGAGTGCCACGCTTCATCAAGTTTGTTATGATAAAAGTCTCATCTTAACGGGGGTTCCAAGGAGGAAGCGCCCTCTTGGTGGGGGTTCGGGGACAGCGCCCTTGAGCAGGGTTCAAGGGGCGTCAGCCTCTGCGGGGTCCAAGGGGCAGAGCCCCTGACTGGGGTCGGTATTTTTTTATTTTGGATAAAGTGCTATGTTAAAAGTTCATTTGAATTTTGATTCTCGAATTTTCCTTAAAGGAAAACATTCAGAAAAACATAGCCTGTTTTTCTCAAAACCCGCGCAAAGGGATGCGTGTTTTGGACGAGAGACACGACCACAACCTTCTCCCCTTCCGCGGCTCTGTTCAAAAATCCACACCAATTAATACTTGTTCTTGAAAATTTTGAGTTTTATCTAATTAATTTTTGGATTGAACCAAAATAATTAATTTGAAAAGTGTTACACGACTCTCAAATCGATCCGTATTATCTTCGTTTATCCCCAACATTCGGTTCGCATTCGTATTCAATTACAAAGAGTTTGTTTTCATTGTATAGCTTTAAAATTATTACCCCACAAATTAATCATATACTGTATTTTGTACTAAAAATAACATGTCGACAACAACAATTACAACCCAATTACATCCCACGAAATTAAGATTTGGGGAGAGTATGGGTACACAAACATTGCCCATACGGAGTACTGTGTATATAAATTATGCTTCATATTAATTATGAAGTAAATATATTATATTTAAATTTGAATATATTCATTAACATATCGAATCGAATACATATGCATTCCAAATTTGTATTTGTACTCGTTTCCTTTCGAATTCAAATGCATATTTATATTCTTATTCGTATTCATTTTTTCGAATATGAATCACGAATCGAATCAAAATTATTCGTTCACTTTACAATCATACTACTCACCACCGCCTTTTGTTTTTCCTTAATTTTTTTCCAAGTCTTTTTTTTCCTTAAGCGAATCCAAGTCGCTTTCCACTTAGGCCACCCACGATCACTTTTTTCATAAAAAAATGCATAAAATAATATATGATAACGCAATTTTGTTAAATAATCAATTATTAAAACATATAAGTATATAAGTAAACAAAGTTATTATAACCCTGAGATAGTAACTTGGAATTTTATCTATAAAGGAATGAGTAACATGAGATAGAGAAAAATGTCAAAGTCACAAATAGAAAAGTCACAAAAGAGTAATTTCAAATAATTTTAAAAGTAGAAATTTAAATTTTTAAATGAAGTGTCTATGCATTTTATATTTCTTACGACCCGTTTGGTGAGTTTGAAAATACAATATGATACGGATTTGAAATCTGAAATGATATGAGTTTTGAAATCTGATATGAATTTTAAAAAAAAATTAAAAAAAGTTTTAAAAAATAACTTTCATTATTTCAAACCCACATTTTTTTCTCTTTATGAGAAAAAGAAAAAAATCAAAACTAATAAAGAAAAAAAAGGAGATGGGACATTGATGCTCATTTCCAAAACCATAGGAAGCAGCAGAGCTATTCATTTAAAATTTGAAGAATATTTTAGTCTAGAGGAGTATTGGTGTAGGTTCGTAGGGGTGTTCATCGGGTCAAACCTGGACCGGACCGGCACCGAATAAGAGGAACTTTGTGGATCGAGGACCGGACCGCTTAAGGTAAGGACTGGCCCGGGACCGGACCGGTAAAACCCGGACCGGACCGGGACCGGACCGAATAAATTTAATTTTTTATTTTTTTTAAATTCGGTTTTATTTATTTAATTTAAAGTATTCAAATGTAAAAAAAATATTACTACAATTATTTTTTCATGTGTAACATACACTAAACATTTTCAAACATTAATTTTTTATTTTTTATAAACTTTAAATAAAATATATATCCTCCATCCATATTACATAAAATTTGTTTGTAATTTTTATTTTACATATAGAATATTCTTCTTCTAACTATATTTTTACTTTTTTTTGTAATATGTTTTTTGTGTTTTTCGTTTGTTTTGACTGACGAATACATTTTTTACTGTTTTTGTTCATAAGATTGTTTACAATAATTTTTTGTTGATTGAAGTTTTGTTACTGATAAAGTACAAACTTAAATTATAGTATTGATACATCAATTTGAAATGCATTATATCGCTTATGTAAAGATAATATTTACTTTTTCACACTTTTCATGTTAAAAATATTTAAATATCATTAGAATTGGTATTTTATTTTGAATTGGAATATATTAAAAAATTATATTAAATAATAAAATCAAAATATTTTAAAAAAATTTAGTATTAAAGTTAAATTAATTTTAAGTATAATAAAAAAAACTTTAAAAACTATATTAGAAAACTATATAAATAACAAATATTTAAAAAAAAATAAAATGTAACCGGTCCACGGGTCCGGACCGAAACCCGGTGGACCAGACCGGACCGGACCGGAACCCGAATAAGGAAAATGTGAGGACCGAAGACCGGACCGAATAAGGACTGGTCTGGACCGGTCCGGTCCGGTTTTGGCCGGGTTTCGGGTCGGTCCGGGTTTGGACCGGATAATGCACACCCCTAGGCGTAGGAATGCTAGGACTATAGAGAATAGCGACGTGAGACTTGAAACCATGAAGGAGAGCGGTTATTTATCAAACTACGGTCATATTTTTTTCTCCTGATCTGATTGGTTCTGACCAGATTGAAATAAGTTCTAATCTGGTCTGATTTGATCTGATATGAATGTAGTTATATTTAAATTTATTTTTGATATAATGACATAGGAGAGTATTGGTGTAATAAGCTCCCAAGAGATATTGGAAGGTCATTCTTTTGCACGGCACACCTACCCTTATCTTTACAAAAAAAAGTAAGAAAAATGATATTCCGCATTTGCAGAATTCAAAAAGTAATTTCCATAATAATAAGATGAACAAAAAAGTCTTTAAAAAAAATAAAGGAAAAGAAAAGACATTAGACTCGCCTTCTCTCTCTGATCTCTCTCCTCTCTGAGCAGGCAGACACCTTTGTATTGTATTCCGGTCCGCAGGGGGGGGGGAATATACCTAGACAACTACATATAAATAAAAGAATAAATAGAAAATTACTCATACGCGAGGAGGGAGAGAGAACCGTGGCAAGTATTCTTTCCCGGAGTTTTCTTCGTTGACTATTCTGGATTTCCGATTGAATTTTTGTTTTTAATCATCGCCGTAACTTACTGAACAAAGCCCTTTGTTCAGTTTCTTTACCCTTTTTTTTTTGTATCTGAATTTCCTCGAATTTCTCAGATAGATTGACCGGTTTGTTTTATCGGGATTAAGAACGTTCTTTCATCAGGCTCCCCGCAGAATTTTTCTGGGTTCGTTCGTCTCCGATCGAACTCTGTTCAGTTTCCGATCATCCGGAAACGGAAAAGGGAGTCTGATTATTCTTGTTTTTTTTTTCTGGGTATAGATTGAATTTGGATTCTGGGTCGTGTTCCGATCCAGTATTGTTTGTTTCGTGAAGATGATGGGAAAGAGTTCTGAGACCATTGATAAATGGAGGGATTATTTTGCGAGTGCGAATTCCGACATCTTTGGGATAATCGAGCACGCTCTCATGGTGGCGGCCATGGATTATCCCCAGGAGTTCAAAATGAGGAGGGATGGGATTGCAGAGATTCTCTTCACATGCAAAGTCACGAAATGCTCTGGGTGCAACAAGGTTGAGATGGCTTTGCCTGGTGGGGATGAGGAGGGTCATGATGGGAAGTGTAAGATGGCCGGGTTGGATAGGGAATCTGGGAGCAAGGAGAGCAAGGCAAATGATCGTCGCGTGCAGCAGATGGAGATGAATGTGAAACAAACCAGCAATTACAGCTATGGTGACGCAGAGGCGTTGACTGATGAGATTGAGGAGGAGACTTTGACTGTTGGCGAGGTCTTGAGGATCAAGAAGGTTCTTGATAATTATGAAGATGAGGTTTTATCCCTTTTTCACTCTCTGTTGAATATCATATCAACTCTGTTTTTTGTCATACTCCGTAATAAAAAAGCATGTTGAAATTGTAGATGCTAAATATTTCTAATATTTTAATGCCTTGTACATGTTGTTCTTACAAGTGTTTCTTTTGGCATTGACTGATAATAATTTGAATTGGTTTTTTCCTCCATTAACAGTCTGAATCTATATTGTTTGATTCCCTGAGGAGACTTCAATTGATGGGTTTGTCTATGGAGACACTAAAGGTTCATCTTTTCTACTTTTCCTTTTGTTTAACTTAAAAGTCTACTTTGATAATGTTGCTTGGATTACTTTATGTGCTGACTTATTTGAATGATAACTTGATGCAGGAGACAGAGATTGGCAAATCTGTTAAATGTTTACGAAAACACGGATCCAAACGGATTAGTCATCTTGTCCAGACCTTGATCAAGTGTGTAACTCTTGGATTGTTTCTTTTACATTCCAACTCTAACCCTTCAGTCGATTGATCATGCTTTGCATGATATATGCCACACTTAGCTTTTTTTCCCCTGATGATGATGATACCAAGAGCATCTCCTCTGTTATGAACTAATTTTTACCTTTCATCGTGAAGAGTTTTCTTTATCTGCCAATTCCATATGAGTGAGTCCATGACTAAATAAGTAAACTTTATTATCTGAGAGTAAAGGCCTTAGTCTAAACGAACATTTTATGAATCAATAATGTTTGATCTCCTCATTTATGAATCAATCCTAGGCATATAAGCATCATAGAAGTCATTCACTTTATACATGTATTTATTTATGTTTTGCATTTACATGGATTGTAGGGATTGGATGGTCATGGTAGATGAATGGGTTAGTGCTACAACAGCACTTACAGGTACTTTTTAGGAGATTTTGTGTGGGTTATGGACCTGCTCAGCATATGGTTATTAGAGATTGATGATTTACTGGCTGTTCTGAATAATGCAGAGAGCACTCCAGAGTCTGGAAAAACATCAACTGTTGTTGAAGAAGACGAGGAAGAGGAGGGACTTCCTTCTCCTCCATTGGATGAGGGAGCTTTCTTTACTACTGCTTCAATGGAGCTATCACAAGTAAACATCGACTTCTTCTCAGCTTTGAATGGATTTGCTCTTTCTGTCCCGTGCCTTAAATTTTGGCTCTAACAATTTTTTTTAATTTGCTGATTTGAACGTTGAAGTTCTTCGACGGAATGGATTTTGATGGAAGTGAGTTTAACATGCATCCTTATACTTTATAGTGTCGCTTTTTCCGTTTGGTTCTTAATAGAATTCCCCACTAACAGAGGTTTATTTTTTCTGGTTGGGGTTTTGCTTCAGATCCTCAAAACAGCGGGGAATTCAAGAACCGTTACATTCCTCCATTTAGGAAACAACAACTTAACGGAAGAGCGCCAAATGCAGCTCCAAGGGACCTTAAGAATGAACCACCAAAGAAGCAAGAAGAAGTTGTCATGAAGAGACAGGCTTCTGAATCTAAGCCAAACAAGCATTCTTCTTCTTCTTCTTCTTCGATTGTAGAACAAAAGTCGCAGCAGAAAGTAGATAAAAGCAAGCTTCAGAACAGAGCAGTTGCTCCGCAACAAAATGTGAGCCTCCAAATGAAGTTCATATGCAATATTAATCGACATAAAACTAATCATTCATCTGACTGATGTAATTTATAATAAAAAAATCATCTCTCAGAACTTCAAGACTACTGATGATGATTCAGTTCAAAAGAAATTGGAAGTGACCAAGAGGAAACTGCAAGAGCGCTACCAAGAAGCTGCAAATGGCAAGTTTCTTATCATATCATCTTCAATACGTTTCACATTTTTTTCACCATATAGTTCACATTTTATTCATTACAATTATCTCCCATTTGCCACTCCAGCGAAGAAGCAGCGAACAATACAGGTAATGGAGTTGCATGATATTCCAAAGCAAGGCCATGCGGTCCAAAAAAACCAACACGCCAAGGCAGGCAACCACAGCAGCAGGCACAATGGACGCTGACAAGCCTTTCACAGCACTGCCGAGGAAGAAGAGTGATATATAAAGTCCTCTCTACTCCACACACATTATTATTGTGCAGCATTCTCTCATAGCTCCTTTAAAAAAACCGGAGTGTCAGTCTGTATTGGGAGCCAATCATAGTTGCTGCCATTGATTCATATATACATACATACATACATAAGTATAGTGTTTTTATTAACAAAGAGCTAGGGAGCATGATTTTGTAACCCTTTCATAAGCTAAATGTGGCTATATAATTCATGATGAGTTGAACTGATACCCTCTCATCTGAGTGCAACATACAGGTTGTTGGTCAATTCTGCTTTTGTCACTCAACAAAGAATTGGCTGATATATATAATAAAGTTCTTGTTTTAATATTAATTACTCTACTGTTTTTTTATTTATTAAGAGTATTTTGGTCTGTTTTTGGTCTGTTACCAATTAAAATTGTTACCAAATGTGCTTTGCAATAAATTTGGTCTTTTGTAATTTTATAATTGAGTAATGCCCCACTTGGAGCATGCATCGAGGATGTTAAGAATTTGGTGGTTGTTAGGTAAAGTTGCTATGAATGAACATGTAATCATAACAAGGCATGAAACACAGAGTTGGTGGGGTTGGTTTAGGTGGGGACCTTTTCTATATTCAACCCTGCAAAGCTTCACCAACACTGGATAGATATATGGAGAATGCTAAAAAGGCACCACTTGTGCCTCCAAGCATGCCACCCATTAAATTTAATTTTTTTTTCAATTTTCTTTTTTGTCTTTTCGTCTCCCACCTTCTTCCTCAAAATTCCCAACCCGCCTTCTTCCCCAAAATTCCCAACCCGCCTTCTTCCCCAAAATTCCCAAATCTCCCTTCTCCAGCTTCAACCTCCACAAGCAACAGATTTCGAACAACTCCAATTGCACCTCCTTCTTCTCCATCGAGAGCATAGCAGCGCCGGCAACCCTACCCCTCGCCAGCCCACCCCTCCAGCTCCAGCGCCGGCAGGCCCACCCCTTTAGCTCCAGCGCCGGCAGCCTCACCCCTCCGAACAGGTACTGAGCCGGCACTCAAATTAATCATTAATGGAATTGTCTGTAAAAGATGAGATACTAAAGAATTGCAAAGAACAATATACTACCATTGTAAATTTTACACCCCACCATAGCTAGCCACTTTTATGAGAGGATGGTGAAGTCATATTTTTGAGAGTATTTGAACTTCATATATGATTATTGTCTGTGAAAAAGAATTGCTTGTTATTTTTGCTTACTTTGTGAATTGTAATGCACAGATGGTTAAGTTCTGTTATTTTAACTTCATATAAAATTATTGTCTGTGAAACAGGTCTACTTGTTATTTTTGCTTGCTTTCTTTGAATTATATGCCATAGACGATTAACTTCAATTTATTGAAATTCATATATGATTATTGTTTGTGTAGATATTTAACTTGTGTTAAAGAAGTAGTAAGAAGAATACCCCCTACTTCGCACGGTTAAGGGTATGGGTGCAAACACTTTGGAGAAGGAATGGGAAAGACCAATATTCCAGTTCTGAACACTTTGGTTAAGGTTGGCTTACCATTAAGTCCAGACTGCAGTTCTGAACACATGGCTGATTTCTGATGTCAATTTGCTGCTAGGTTATGGCGTGGAAGGAAACCAACCAATATTTGGCTTTTTTACTTTACAATTTTAGGGATCTAAAATTTTTGTGAAACTCTTTGTAATGGTTTTTGTGCTTTGTAATGTATTTTTTGGGGAAACACTTGTTAATGAACAATCTATTACTGTGTTTTATGAATAACTGTCTATTTTACCCATTACACAGAGATTTAATGTATGTGACGACAGAGTTACATAACGTTATGCACATACACCATCTTCAGAATCTTATCACATATGTGAGGGTCTTGTAAAGGTAAAAAGAAAGTTAAAACGCATACATTAGATTTCATGGTGCTCACATGGAATAACTGTCTATGTCACACACTTCACAGAGAATTAATGTATGTAAAGACAGAGTTACATCAGGTTTACATCAGTTTATGTGCAAAGAAAGTTATCATATCTGTTACATACTTTACACAAAAAATCAAAAAGCAAAAAGCTATGTGATTTATAGTTCCCATGCTCATTCCAAAAAAATGAGAGCAAAGTTCTAGATTTGATGCAAAAAAAAGTTCTAGATTTCGTAAAACTCAAGTCATGTTATGCACTTCAGAGTTTTTTTGATTTTTTTTGTAATGGGGCTTTTATCATCATGAATTTCTACTTGATAATGTACATTCTGTTACTGTGTGTGATAAATGATACACCTTAGTTTATGACTGAATTACAGATTTACTTTCAGATCCCTCCCAGAGATTAACTGTCTATTTTACCCATTACACAGAGCTTTAATGTATGTGACGACAGAGTTACTTAACGTTATGCACATAAACCATCTTCAGAATCTCATCACATATGTGGGGGTCTTGTATAGCTAAAAACAAAGTTAAAACGCATACATTAGATTTTTTGGTGCTCACATGGAATAACTGTCTATGTCACAGACTTCACAGAGACTTAATGTATGTGAAGATAAAGTTACATCAGTTTTACATCAGTTTATGTGCATGGAACTCAGAGAAAGTTATAATATTTGTTACATACTTTACACAAAAAGCAAAAAGCAAAAAGCTATGTGATTTGGCTTTGCAATTTGTCCTAGTCCGCATTGGAAACCTACACTTCGAGCATAAGCCAGATAGTGTTCTCAGATTTTTTCAATGCTTGTAAACTTCATCCCCACTTCAGGACATCATTGTTAATG